TATTTTTTCTGGTTTCAAGATGGCAAAATCCCTAGTTGAAGGGAGTACTTTTGTGGGCAAGGGGAGGGACTTCTGGTGGCAAAGTTCAGGGGTTAGGGGGCAGAACTTTCAGTACTAAGATGATGACCAGGGGTTGGGGTACATGTGGCCCTCAACACCTTTCCAAAAGTGGGTAAGTGGCCCTCTGCCTGAAATAGTTGTTCATCCCTGCTTTAATCGGTGCCCAAGACTGGTGCTCCCTTCGCCCACCCATATTTACACTACTGTCCATTTCTATATAAATTGAAAACCCAGTCCAGCCCTGGGCTTTGCTAAACTAGAAATGAAAGTGATTACAGTTGCACTCTTGGTAAAAGTGAAGCACATTGTATTTTTATTTCTAAGCGTGACATTCTAAAGAACTGCTATAGGCAAAGTGACCAAAAACGTTAGACAGTCACTGTAGCTTTCTTCTATCCTAGCTAAAACAAGTACTTTTCCTTTTATCCTGCCTTTTTATATGCTGTTACAATTTTCTTCATGATAGCTAAGGCCTTGCCCCTCTGTCACCTTTACAGAGGCCCATATCAGAGCCATCATCAATGTGCCAGCACCTCCTTGTGATCACTTAAAGAAATGGCTGTGCTTTATATTTGAAAGGGGCAATAGTGCAGCACACCAGGAGGGGGGATGTGCATGTGCCAGCAGGAAAAATGTAATAGAGTATATTGGGCCCAGTCAGGGCTGACCCTAAGGGGTTGTGGGGCCCCCTTAACATTTTTATATAATTAAAAAGAAGTTCATATAATTAAAAGAAAAAACCTCACCGATCACGATCAGTGTTACACTGCCTATATTCTGAAATCCATTGGGAGGGCAGGGGCTCCCAGCTCAGCCATCACTGGCTGTGGGGCCAGGGTTAGGGCTAAGAGATCCAGGTGGCGCAGGCTGCAGAAGATGGAGGTGGCAGCCCTGGCGCTGGCACTGAGGGTGCTACCACTGGCTCAGCCCACCCTGCGGGTCCGCCTGCAGCACAGGACAGCTGAGGTAAGGGTTGTGCCGGGCAGGCTGGGCTGGGTTGGGAGTGCTCTTGCAGCAGGGGACCCTGAGCTGAGCTGAGCCATGGTGCCCGGCAGCCTCGCAGGGCTCTGGGCCAGGCTATGCTGTGGGGAGGCACTAGGCAGCACCTCTGCCACAGCCCTCAGAGCTGGGAGCGGGGCTTACCTGCTGTTACTATGTATTGTTGTTGGTTTCAACAACCCTAAACCAGACTTTTAGCAGGCTTCGTCCTCCTAAAAACTAATTAATGCACAATGTCAGGAAAACAGGAGATGAAATTGAACTTAATTCTCTTTTACTCCCTCTGTGTGACACTATATCTGAATTTACCCAGGTCTGGTCAAGATAATTTAGTCCTCAAAACTCTCTACTTGCTTGCTCTTTATTTCAAATTCACAACAGTTTTCATTCACCATTCTTCAAGATTGCCCATAGTCTTTTTCAATAATTGATTTAATTATTGGTCTCTTTCTTCATATTCCTTCTCTCTGGCAGGTAACTGGAGATGGGGCCTCCTGAAAAGTTTATACCTAGATTCTAGCTTTCTCATAGTTTATGGGATGCTGGTGTTTGAAGGCTTGTTTTGGTTATAGGGATAGAATATAGCGGCAAAAAAAGAAAAAATAGGGTCACTTTGAATCTCCTTCTTGCCCTCTGAAATAATTAAAATTTTTCTGTTTTTAGAATCTCAAAAATCCAGTGTCAGGTAGTATTTAGACGCAGTAGGGTAGATTTGCCTACGCTGTAATTTCAGTGATGTCCGTGGCGCTCTATACAGTTATACCACAGTGAATCCAGCCAAGTATACTTTCTTTTCTTTTCAGTTTTCCTTAGGACTGAAACTGTCTTAAATGCCAGTTCTAGACAATTAGTTTTGCATCTGTAAGGTTGCAAGCCCCAGCTGCCAACCCTGCTGCACTCTCTCCCTCACCATGGGGGGCCCCAACTTGTCCCCTCTCTCCCTACCGCACATTGCCTATGCCTTCCCTGCCAGACTTACCTCCACTGCTGCCTGGCTGTATTGCTGGCCATGCACATGTGTGCACACATTCACATGGTGCCCCCTGTGTACCACTCCTCCCAGGCCCAAGCAGCTCCTTGCAGGCTAAAATTGCATTTTTCTCTCTTAAAGGAGAAAATCTGCATTTTTATGCATTTATCCATAGCAAATAGAAAATCCAGATCCATGGTAATGATACACCATACAACATGCACCCCCTTTTTTCAAAAGCCTATATCTGCCTAAGAGTACACCTTACAAAATGACATGGGGATACTGACTTGCTAGAGCTGCCTGGTCTGAGACAGCGCAGTCAAACTGATGGGTCTCCTGAAACACTTGAAGTGTTAAATTGCAGCCTGGGGGATTTGCTGGCGTGGCTGTTGGAGCTGCTGTACTGGTATGACACCAGAACCTAAGGAGTAAGTGCTGTTATCACGTGCTTGATGCCCCCTCCTGGCTCCCTTCCCTGATGGTAAATTTGAGACCTTCAGTTGCTGTTGGTGACTAAAAACGGTAGCAGGGAAAAAATGGGGACAGGTGACAGAAGTAGTCACTCCTGGTTTAAGATGTAGGTACAGCCCTTGTTTAAGATACAAAACTCAGGATGTGGAGCCATGAACTGCCAGTATAGTTCTCTCACCAGTCACTGTGTGCCCTGAGCACGCCTGTCAACCTCCTAGGCTCAGTATCACTTCACCGATGAGGAAACTTATGCTATAAAGCTAGTCTCTCTCCCTTGTGCAGATTTGGAGCATAAGTGCATAAAATTGCCCATATAGAAAAATTCATTATTAAAAAAAATTAGTTTTTAAATAACAGTTTTCACTCTCTCACCATCTGTACATACAGATCACTTGCTCAGCACAGCACATAGCAATGCAGACCTTTGACCCAAAGAGTTATATTTTCTTCTTTGAAGAGCTTCCAGTCTACAGCTACTAGAATAATATAGAGCATTACAACAAAGAAACAGAGGGATTAATGATCGTTTTAATTGGAATGTGTCAAGGGTCCACGAGGTGTAGCACAAAATCATTAGACAAGATGAGAGAGAAAAATGAATGGCTGACATGGACATCAATCTCTGGAGGTCTCACATAGATGATATCTTCTCTTATGTAAAGTCCTGCCTCTGAGGGTCTGCAACCTCCTGGCCATCAGCTCCTTGTAGGCTGTCCTTTGTCTGTGGAGCAACTAAACTCACCTCAGTCTTGAGGTAACAGGAAACTCTTGAGTAATGGCAACACAAAACAATCAGCATCCACTGATGGGCCCCTGGGGCTGGTCTCCCAGGCCCACAGGCCCCTGGCTGGGGCCTTTTACCTTCACCCGTTTAAGATTGCAGGCTCAGCAGCTCCCTGCTGTGCCCCTGGCAGTCATCTTGTGGGGCCCTCCTCTGGGTCCCCTCCCACCTTGGCCCCGTCTCACCTGAGGCTGTGCTCTCCGGTTCACTGCTGCTGGTGCTCCTGCCCCTTGCCTTGGCGGCCCCACATGGCTCTCCCCCTTGCATAGGCCCTGGGCCGTCGTAGCCCCGCGGCCTGACACTGATGCTTCTCTTACCACTCAGTGCGGTCTCTGGCTTCCGCCCCTGCTTAAGGGCTCCCTGCCAGCATGGTTTTTCTGTGGCACTTGGCCCGTTTCTCTTGGCCCCAGTGCTGCACGCCTCTCTCTTACCACATTCAGTGGTGTGTTCTCTGCCTCTTCCTGGGACTCCTCCAGGGTGTGCTGCCTGCCGCCTTTCGGTGGTATTGCTGGGCCTTCCTCCCAGAGTGCCTCCCAGGTGTGCCACAGCCTCTCTTGTGCAGTGCTCCATGGCGCTCCCTGGTTCTTCCCGGAGAGGCTCCTCGATGTGCTGCTGCTTCTCCTGCGCTGCTCTCTGTGGCACTTCCCAGCTCTCCTCCAGCAGCATCCCACAGCGTTCCCCTGCCACTGTGCTCCAGCTTCCCCATGCTCTACCTCCAGCTGGTCTCCCAGCTGCTTTTTCATTCTCCCACTCTTCTCTCTGGCCCCACCTTCTCTCTCCACTGATTTGCAGGCTCAGGCAGTCCCGAAAAATGGTGTGCCTGAGTCTGCCATCTTGGCGTCTCCCTGCAGCTGCTGCTCATTACTTCCCCTGCAGTGAGTGATGGGGAGAGTCAGGGTGGGCTTTCTCTTCCCCTTTCACAGGGAGTAAACAAAGAATATAACCTTCACCCCTCCCAACATACCACATAGAATATGAAAAAAAAATTGAAGCCTATACTTCTTATACATTAAAGGCAAATTTATCTTTCTGCAATGGATTCCATGCCCTTGGACTTTCTCTGTGGAAATGGGAACATATTCACTGTTTATATAGGTTCTCCATGTGTGTGTAGAACACTATTTGTGTGGGGTTTTTAATACCTTTTCCCAGTATGCCACTCTTACTATTTAATATGTTAACATTTGTCAACCCTTACCACTTACTTATATATACAGTGTCTTTTATTCAATATAAAAGGAAAAACTGGTAATCACTGATTGCATTTCATAGTAATGGCTGGCAAATACTTTTTAGTTGCAACCACTGAGTGTATGTATGCCTAATTTCTTGGAAGAGCTGTTCAGACCTGTTTGAGATATAACCTTCCCTAATAGTGTACAGTAGCACACATTGTTGTTCTTAAATAAATAACCAATTTCTTTTCCTTTCCCCCAACCCCTTGTTTTCTTTTGCAGCCTACACTCTGGATAATGTCAATGTACAGGGATATTTTGTCTATTCTTTTAATGACAGGACTGCTCCTAAATATGGCCTCTATCGTTACGTTGCAAATCAGTATGAACCGAAGCCTTCCATGAAACATTACAGAGAAATAATTGACAATAATGGTTTTCCCAGTCCAGAAACTCCTGAAAGATGGTGCCCAGAAGAGCTTGCTTCATGTCCTGAATGCAGCTTTTTCCGAACCAGAAAATCTTTATTAGCTTTTATTTCCTTTATTTTTTTTGCTTTCATTGTTACCATATTCTTCATTATTTACCACTCCAGGAGGGATGAAAGAAGGTATAAATAATGCTGCTGCTTTAGCTACAGCACTGACTACTATGTTGCTTGCATTCCTTTGGGAACTCTCAAATAATTATATAGTAATGTTGTAATCACTTCGGCACTAGGGAGCCCTTTGCACTGCCTAATACTGTGAAACATTAAAGCTGAAAATGGATTGTGAACACAGGAAATCCTTTTCTGGGTTTTGGTATATTTGTGACCTAGATTCTAGTGGTCAAATTTATCTCAACTTCAGCTGGAGACCTTTCTTTGAGCAGATTATTTTTCCTTGTACGCAAACGCATTGCTAACCAAGACCTATATTAGTTTAACTGTGAAGACACTAACCAATTAATCCACTTGGACATAAATTGCTTTTTGTGGAGTAATAGAAAAATCTAGATGCCAAGTTCTCAGGAGAAAGCTGGATGAGAAAGATGATAAGCTGTCTTCCTGGTTAGATTTTACTCAAGTATCACCTGACTAAAACCAACATTCAGCTGTAATATAGAAGAAGACTAAATAGAATTAGACTAAGTAACTAGACATCACAAAAGGAAAAAAATAGTTCTGTTGCCAAACCATATCAGGGAGTAAGGACATTGGGATTCTGTTTTTGCTTTGCTAGTGACTTTGAAAGGTTGGCTTCTGGCATCACATTCCTTACCCACATTGTATCAGTTGGTGTTGGCAACCTCCCACAATGCAGTGCATACTTTTCTGTTTCTGACCTAAACCAGTCATTGGAAAAGAGCAGCAAAGTGAATTGGGTCATGTTTTGAGGGCAGGAGAGCTGGCCCCTAGCAAGGAAGAAGGGCTTATGCCTTGGAGATGGGGAAGGGCTAGGGAGGGATCTTGTTCTATTTCAGTTGGTGGACAAGGAGCAGGAACACCATGGGGATATAGTGCATTTCCCAATGGCAGATGGAAAAGCTGAATAGATTTCTTCTGCCTCTGGTATCAGGAAACTGTATACCTGAAAATGGGGGCAGGGCTATCACAGCATTTAGTATCCAGAAACTTTCACTCCTATTTGTTGTCTTCTCCTAACATTTAATAAAAAACCCCCAGAAATTAGCCGCTCCCTAGATTCAAGCAGGTTAGGGAAATCTGAGTTGAGCTGAGGAAGATGGTTTTAAATTTAAGTGAGCCTAGGCCTGGAGGTTTAATGCCTTTATATTGCATACACATTTCACACCAGTATTCTGGTATCCTGATATCTTGTTTGCCAAGAATTTAAGTCTTGGACCATCTATTTGTGGAGCTTATGCATTAATTCTCTGATAACTTGACCCAACTCTTATTGGAATGTTTTTGCTGACTGTAACACAGGGGTGGGCAAAATGGTGGATCTGGCCAGTGGACGGACTCCATTTCCCAGCAGCCCCTGCCCACATGGCTGGGGCTGGTTTCCATGGAGACTGCAGCAGCAATTGTACTGTGATAGTGCAAGGCTGGGGTTTCCATGGAGACCAGTCCCAGCAGTGTTGGCAGCAAGGTGGGGAGGTGCTGAGGTCTTGTGGTGGTGACAGCATGGTTTGGAAGCAGGGCAGAGCTGTGATTTGCAGCCTGCATGCTCCGGGCAGGCGTGTGCAGGCTGCAGATTGCTGCTCTGCCGTGACTCCTTGCAGCGGTGACAGCGTGGGACAAAGCCACGATCCACTGCCTGCAGGCTGCAGATCGTGGCTTTGCCCTGGCTCTGGACCATGCTTTCACCACCACAAAATCCCAGTGGCTCTGGAGCAGCTCCTTGCCCCACTGTGTGCCCTGCCAGCACTGCTGGGGCCGGTCTCCACAAAAACCCCAGCCTTGTGCTATCACAGTGCAGCTGCTGCTGGGGTGTCCATGGAAGCCAGCCCCAGCCATGAGGACATGGGCTGCTGGGAAGTGGGAGTCTGGCTGCCAGCCAGATGCACTATTTTGCATATCCCTGTGTTACAGTCAGTGGAAGTATTCCAATAAGAGTTGGGTCAAGTTCTCAGAGAATCAATGTGTAAGCATTAATGGAAATGGAGTCCACTGCTGGTTGGATCCAGTCTGCGGGCTGGACTTTGTCTGCCCCTGCTGTAACAGCAGTTGTCAGGCTGGAATAGCGCTCAGACTCCAAAGGGTCATTGAAAATCTGAGCAACTCTGCTCTGTCAACAGAATAAATTAGCTAAATAGTACCAATGTTATTTTTTCATCAACAGAACCATAGAAATCAAGAGATGCAAAATGACTGTGGTCCTTTTCCAATCATACCCATTAATCAATGCAGGAGCCTGCAATCTGCATAAAGTGATGCAGTGACTTCTTTCTCTCTGCTGGCAGTCTTCAAATGTATTATACTTGTGTTTTCATGTTGCCATATGTCCAGCACTGAAGATGAGTTTTAATCTAATACACTCTGTGTTAGTTACCAAGTTGTGTATCCAGCAGGGTCTAAAGTTGCTGTATTGAATGTGAATGTTTATTTACTGTAAATTGAAATTTTATATGTGAAATACGTGTCTTTTGTTTGCACCCTACATTATATATTTTCTTTTGGTTAGAAGATTTAGTATCCTAGCACAAAGATTAATATATTTGTCCTTTAGTTCCAGATGTATAATAGCCCGATTTGCACTAATATATATTTTGCTATCAGGATTAATGTGACAAATTCTGGGTAAGTGATAAAATAGAGTAAATGTATATTAGCCTGCTAGGATTTGCTGAGGAAAATATATTTAAAAATGTTGTGGTGTTTTTACATTAACCCACTGCCATATGGTACTGCATGGACTGCAAAGAGACAGTTCTCCCTGAATATATGGAGTGCTAAATTGGTTTCTCTGTGTCATTGCAATGAATCACTTTCTAGTTATGATTTTGATAAAGAGCCTACTGCACAGTGTCAAGTGGAAGCTCAATAGATAGTGAAGAAAATATAATAGTTATTCAATACATACACTGGCTAGATACTACCTATATGCTGTTTTTTCTTTATATAACTATGACTTTGCTAGAATAATAAAACAGCAGAACTGATTTTTAGAGTAGCGTACATAGAATCAAAATATTTAAAACTCATAAACATCTAGTGCAATTCTTATCAGTTTCGTTGAGTGTCTTGTTGTAAGTACTTGTGCTGAGCGCCTCTGAAAATCAGCCTTGTTATGCTTAATTCAAAACAGTCTCATTACCATGTTACAATTTTTTCCTGACTGGAAAGCCATTTAAAATGGGTGTGCAACATGCTGACATTTTACTATGAGGGAATAATAGGCAAGTCACTAACATATTGCAGTTTAATAGTGGAGCCACAGTGGGGGGCCAAGAGCAAAAAAGCATGCCTGTGGTCAGATGGAAGGGAACATACTGCGGGCTTTTCCAATACTTAGAAGAGACAATTTTGTCATCACTGAATGAAAAAGAATTAGGATTTTTTCATATGGTTCTTACTGGCTATATAATTTGCAAGTAAATCATACAAAAATGGTTCTGTGACTTGTGGATATAATATAGCCCTTTGTGTGTTTTCTTTCACAACAACTATTAAGTATCATTGCAGAACACTGATCTCTTGGTTTTAGATATAACAATATGCAGAAGAATTTTCATCTACCCTACCTATAGAAGTACCCATGCTGGCTGATTTATAATGAAACAACGGGGCTTTTTTTAGACTTTTGAGCCAAATGTAACATCTGCTCACCATAATTACCCTTGGCACTTTCCAAGTGCCCTATCTTATTAGGGCTGGACAAATCTTAGTGAATTAATTGTACATCTCTATCACAGAGGTGTGGTCTAGGCAAACTATAGGCTGATTTGAATCACTTGTCCTCCAGACTCAGGAATCTACTTGTTTTTATGTAAGTTAGGTCCAGTTGCCAGGCTCAGACTAATTGATTCTGCTTCTCAGTAAGAAAGGGGGCTAGATACCTTTTTTCTCTTCCAGTTATTTATTTGTAAATGGTAATCTAGCATTTTTCTATGAAAAGTTAATCTAAAGGAGCCTGGCCTCTGGCTGAACAGCATGCAGATTTCTATCCATCAAAATGTGGTAATATTACTTGGTAATATTATGAAAAATCACAAGAATCTGCATGTAAGACTGCTGCTGCCAATATGCCATAGGAAGTGCATATTTTTGTTTTGATTTTAATTGTGCTAATAAAATATGCATTACTTATTTGTTTTCTGAAAGCTACAGATCTAATACTTGTATTGTAAAATATTAAATTATATTTTTATGCAAAATATTTTGTGATACAGTTGGGAATCTTCTGTTTCATTTCCTGATACAAGCAGTACAGAATGAAAGCTAGAAAGTCTTTGCAAATGAATGTTGTATATATGTTATAATGGCCTCACTTAGAAATGAAATAAAAATACTGTACAGTGCAAAATGGAAACTTTAATTTCAAACTGTCCAGCTTTCTGTTTATAAGATAAAGGATACAGGTCCTTTATCTCAAGAGAAGCTGTTGTGATAATATTTATATATTGTTTTAAGTTACTCTTTGTTAGTTTCCCACTATCACAAAAATAACTGTAATTGTGCTGGTTGACATTATCAGGGATTAAGTCTGTCTAAATTTAAGATTTGCTGGTTTAGTTATGTAACTGTGTGTGTATGTGTTTCAACATGGTTACATTGATAAAAGCCCTATTGTGAAAGATGTTAAAACACTCTAAAAGTGCTTTTGTGCAACAGCTTATTTTGCGATGTATACTCCCTATACTGAGACAAGCTGCAGGTACATCAAATGTTTTGTCATTATAGGTATAGCACTAATTATTGCATTATTTTTATATGTTTTAAACAAAACTAAAAAGTTAAGGAGAGGGAGGGCATTTGGATAGGTAGGGATGAGGTAGGGGTGGGGATGCCAGACATAGAATCAAAATAGTCAAAAAAATATCTACTGATAGTAATGTTATTAAAATGCCTTACTCCTGTTCTCTTTGTCTAGACACTTTGGAAGAAGAACAATTTCCCTTGAAGATATTATTCAATGAGACATTCCCTTGTTGAAGAGAAAAAAATCTGTTATTGGTTTGTAGCTCTTTGCCTCAGCTGAGAAAGTTTAATCCAGTTTCCACTTTAGGCACACACAGCTGACGTAGGGAGCCTGTGAAAAGAAGATATAAAAAGGCAGAAATTGTTTCTCTCTTTTATGTAAGCAGTTCAGCTGCTGGAAAGCCAGAAGCACAACACATTGCAAGCCTTGACCTTGGCAAACTGCTGATGGCAGAGCATTGCAGAGTTAGAGTTGTGCTGCTTGCTTAAGGTCACCGTTTATATAACTTTGCCAAGGTCTTTGTGTCTGTGAAAGATGGGCAGAAGGGCAGAAAAACAGGAAAAAATACCAGAGATACAGGATCAGAAAAGCCAAAGGCACTGAGAATGTGACTTCGAGAAATGCTGAGAGAAATAGAAACTGGAAGCTTCTGGGCCAAGTGCTGATTCTTTAGGGGATTGGAATTGTGAGCAAAGACACCATCTCCTATCATTTCATGTCCTACTTTGTTCAGTGAAACAGGGCTTTGTATATTCTTTGGAAAGAAAACAGTGGGAAGGAGAGAAAGGATTGCCTCAAATAAACACCTGATTCTGTCATCAGTTTCTCCTGTTATGGGAACAACCTGCTAACTAACCACTTCATTTCATATCTCAAGGGTTGCTCAGAAGATGGCTATGGCAATGATAACGTCATCTACTTTTGTCCTCACAGCTGGCCCCAACAAATCACCTTTCAGGACCAGGCTGATGAAAGCTGATGAAGGATGCAATTGTAAATTCCTGAATGGCATGTAGGACAGGTGATCCAAGTTGATTCAGGTGTCTAAAGATTTTTATCCTCTCAAGTAAGTTGCCCAGTATTGAGTGGTTCCATCTGCAGGGCAGTGGCGGTGCCCTCAATTGGCTTTTGCTTGTGGCAGGGGTCGGCAATATTTTCCGGAGGTGGGCTTGATAACCCAGCTCACTGTGAAGGCAGGCTGATGCTAGGATCAGCCTGTGGTACATTGCCAAAGACCCTCCTCAATGGACTGGATCCAAAGGCTCTGTGAGGTGGAGTCAACCTGCA